TTACTTTAGCAATGTACCAAAATCATTTTGGCCAATTGGAAATGAACAAAATGCATTTAATCTGACCAATCAACTTCACCAATTCTTCATAGAATCTCAACTAAAGAATGCTGAACCACTAACCCATTCTCTGAACTTTTTGTAGGACTTAAATCTCACCTACTTATTGGCTGCCAAGGTTTTAAACCTTCACAAAACTATGGAAAATTATAGTGCTAATGGAAATTTGAAACTTTTACATCTGCTTTTATAGCATTTAGCTACCACCTTAAATACGTTTGGAATGTTTTTCAAAAGGAGAATTTAAAAGTGTGTTCTCGAGAGTTTTTGCTAAGTCACAAAGTAAGAAAAAAAAATTAAACTTAAAAAAGATTTAATCAAATCACTGAGAATAGTTGGATAGTATGGAAAGATTTTTGAATTTTTCATAAAACTTAAACCAATTTCCTAGTTAATGAACAATTAGAGGAAAAAAAAGCAAGCATAACTTTAGTTTCTTGAATTAAGACACTTTCAGACCAGACTTGAGTCATTATATAATAAAGCTTTGACATCGGAGACTTGCCATAATGGGATCACAAATTCCTACAGTTTATGGCATATCAATAAGATTGTTTTCTGTCAGTTCCTGTTTTGGAGAATAAGAGATGGCAGTTGGTAGTGTTCAAACACAGAATGTCTTTGTTTCTGTTTTACTCTAACTGCCCATCTGTTGCTTTAACTTTATGCAATTATTTCTGATAGAATGAAGCTTATAGCACTGGCTCCAATATATTTAGGTAGAAGTTTTCTTAATATCATTTAATTCTAAATTCTTGATGAGATAGGCTGAAAGGGAAGTTATTAAACAGTGAATTGATTAACTGGCTCAACTGATAACAAAACTCATCTTGCATATGTTTCTGATGTTTCATTGATGTCATCAACTTCTCTGTGCCACCCTCCCTCAATTCTATGAAAGCTACCCTTGTTGTTACCAGTTAAGGGTTCAAGTGCCCAACCCTTCAAAGGTCAAAACATCAGTTTGGAATAAGGAAAGTTTTATTAGTTGAGCACTAGCCTGAGAAGATGGGGGCTTAACGTTTCTGCAAATCCATCTTAATATTTCCCTGCATTCAGGTGTCTTTCTTGTCAAGGGGATGGAGGAGGGGCTGGGCAGGAGGTGGCTTGAGAACCCTAGACAGCTAGGCTCAGACTGAGGTCCAAGAAAGACTCAGTCTCTAAATGTCTTTGTTGGCCCCTGCTGATCTGAGTTAGTCTTGAGGCTCCTGTAAATCTTTGATAAACAGTTATTATTTTGTACATATTTTCCTATGTCTTTACAAGAGGCATCTTCTGACAAGGGGCTGTTTTTTTGCAAAATACTCATGCCTCAAGCAGAATTCCTCTAGGTAATTAGCATTACTGGAGCATGAGCTATTAGCCTGAAGCCCATGAGAGAAATGCAGGCTGGAATTAAGGTAGAGACACAGAGGAGCATCTCACTCTTACATAGTAACAGGTTTTACTGTCCTTCCAGTGGTAAACGCAGAGGTCTCACTTTGTCATTTTGCTTTTCTTCAAAATATTTGGGACACTGGACATTAGTGGCTGGCCTCTTTTTCCTTAGAACCTTCTCAGACCTCTGCTTCCATGGCAACATCATAATCTGGTTATATCTCTCTCTCCATTCCTCCCAGCTGCCTAACTCTATAGCTTTCTACTGAAGAATCATGGACCCTTCATATTTATTTAATTCCTCAATCACATGCTCAGCAAAGCTGCTTCTTCTGGGTACCATCTGCAGTCTATAAGCACAACTCTTTATAAAAAACCTGCTTGTTTTTTATCTCTGCCCATCATGCCATTCTACCTCACATTCTTTTCATTGCATCTTGATCTTCCGATAGCTCCATGACAACTTAAAAGGCAACATCATTACTTATCTGTGTTTCTTTCTAAAGTTTCTGCTCCTCTGTTCAAATATTCTCACAAAAACTCAAAACCTGGGATTTACTTTTAGACTTAAATTCAGCCTATCAGTATCCGTATTCTAAGTGATAGTCTATCACTGTGCTTACTTTAAAAAACAAAAGGAATAATTTTGTTTTATCAGTGCTTTTTCAGGCTATCCCAAGTTCATAGATAATTGAAATATTCATTTTTAGTACCCCATGACCCCATTTTCTAATGTCAATTTCTACTGCATTTTAAAAAAATTGCAGTGGTATACAAGTATACCACTTCCAAGGAGTCCTGAAAATTAAAGCACTTTCATCAACTTCGGTTATACTGTGGGTTGTCTTGAAAAAAAATTATAGAATTCTTTCATTAAATTATTTTAGCATTTCTTTTTAAATGTGGTTTTCTTGTAATTTTTTAAATGATTAACTTTCCAGCCCAGAAATATTTCATGAATGAGTTTAACTGAGGTTATTTCTCCTATATGAAATAGATTAGGACATTCTACTTGCTACGTTTGGACATGTACTGAGAACATGGATCACTGATCATTCAGGCATATTACATTTGCAGCTTCTTTGGAGGTGCCCACCGCATGCCCATGTGCTTTAAATTAAACATTTACTTCTAATATTATAAGGTAACCAGCTCTTCTGGTTTGCCTAGGACTGATGGAATCGCCAGGACACTGGGCTATCAGTTTTCAAAACAGGACAACCCCAGGCAACCTGATGATTGGCCACTGCAGATACTAGTTAAATTACCCAAAGTGTGGAATAGTTGACAACTTTGTCTGATTAAAACCACCTTGAGGGTTTATTTCTTGGATCACTTACAATTAAATCTAAACATTTAAATGTCTGTCTTAAACCCAGAACACATGTATTCTAATTATACAAAGATAATCTTACTATCTAGCTATGATTTAATTTTACCTTACATTTGTTTATATAAAAACTAAGTTAAATCAAAAGCCACAGTTTCCCTATGTCAACTTATTAAAAATGTGGAATGCTGCCCATTTATTTATTCATATAATCTTATTTATTAAGTAGGTACTGTTGGCCTCACATAAAATAATAAGGACTAAAGATATAATTATGAACAAGGTTATGATCTTTCCAGAAAATCCTAGCACTTTATTAGACTTTTGTTAGTAATTTTGGGCCCCATTCTAGGTTTTCCAAATGCCCAAACGTTCATATAATTGCCATTTAGCTGGTATACATGAGAACTCCTATGCTTTTATTCCCTGGAATTTAGCTATGTGACAAATGTCCGATCAAATTGATTCTTCTCTAGTAGTTAATTTCCTCTGCCTCTGTTACTGGTTTTTCATCCATAATGTAGGCCTCAAACCCTTTCCATTAACTTTGTAAGGGAAATATTTGTGTGCAATTGCTGAATCGTGCTCCAAGATTAAGCCCGTAATAGGAAACAACTTGGGCATAGTGCCACTGTGGGTCAATGCAGAAACAGACCACAAATTTCACCTTGAAGTTTAGCTCGAAACTATGCCATATGCTAACTCTAGTTAATCTCAAAGGGACCTTGAATGATACATTTGTGAGAAGGTGACAGATTCTCCTATATGCCTGGCTGCAGCTCAAAGTACCAGTCGAGCACTAGAAAATTGTTGCTGCATTGAGGAAATCCAAATTGAGGAAATCTAAAAGAGTGCCTGACTTACTTCCAGTAAGTGCTCAATAAAATTTTGTCCAGTATATTCTGCAGTGTTGCAATTAGCATTTTTACATGAGAAGTTCATTCCCTTGAACTCATATTCTGTGATATTTCATGATTCACCACTATTATGAGTTAAATATTATTTCTGAATTATTTACATTGTATTATTTTCTAGTTCCTCTAAGATGACTTAAGGTTTTTAAAAGGTAAAGACTATAACTTACATTTCCTTGTCCATCTGCATGACATAGGACCATGACAAGACTCTTAAAAAAGTATGTTGAATTTTTATTGACATCAATGAATGCAAAACACTAGTACTTTGTGACTGATAGACTAATTGAATTCCTAGGCATGACATGTGTTTGGAAGGGAGAATATGTGAATTAATGTAATTTTACATTAATTTCCCTCTTCATCTCAAGGGGTCCTTGTAGTGAAGTGCAGGTAGAGTAAGATTTTAGAATGGTGATTGATTTTGCAGGGTAAGAATTTGATAGATTTAAGTGATTATTTTACCTGGAATCTGCTTATGTTGGTAATCATCTATTTTATTTGGAAACAGCATCAATAAATTGATCAGTTAACTGGAAGAAAATATACACTTCGCCCTCATCTGGAGCAGGCCCAAGATGCCTCCTATGAACTTGAACAGAGGAGGAAATTCTCTTGTGATCTTTCTAATGAAGTTCTTAAAAATAAGCTTTACTGATTAGAAAACCTGGATTCATAAAAGTCTTTCTCAAAAAAAAAAAAAAAAGAGAGAAAACAATCATCAGAATGCATAAAGTGTAGTAATAAGAAACAAAGCCACCCCCAGGTATGCCTATCTCAACAGCCTGTTAAATGGATCCTGTGAGAAAGGAACGGGAGGCATAGCAGGACAGTGCACCCCAATTTTCTGTTAACAGACCTTTAGAAATTCTGAGATTCTAACAGATAGACCCAGACCTCCAAACGAACTAGGGTTAAAAGCAAGTTTGACTTAGGTTCTAATGTGAAGGTGATTTCGTTTTTAGATAACTTCCCAATGAAGAATGAAGTATTGTGGAATAGTAGCTAATCCTTCATCTCAGCCCAGTCCCCATCCACTTTATAAAGCAGCTTTAAATCAAGAGAGAATTAGTTAAAAGCAACCTAGGCTGCTAGGTTTCATTTTCTTTTTGCCCTTCTTCCTCTGATTCTCTTTACCTTTGTTCCTCTTCTTTGGTTTTCCAGGCTGCTGTGAACCTCAAAGAATGTTCCCATGGATTAATATCTTTACCAACAGTTTCCTGGTGTGAATCCCAGATCATGCTCCAATGATTTACTCAAGTGTTTCTCTATGGAATGTTGGATGTCAGCAAATGGCCCTCTTAAAGAAGTGCAATGTTCTCTTAAAAAGGCAACATTTAGTACCTGCCGTGAAGATGAATTCATATATTCAGACATCCATTTGCCTTTTTCTTTTTAGGGAGTGGATTATCCCCTAGAAAAGAGAGACGTTTTATGACCTGGTATTTTAAGAAAGAAATTAAGATTATATGCTGTACTAACCTTAGACAACATTAATCTTCTTGCTTAACTGCAGCAGAATGCATTACTATTGTTTTGAAATATATGCTTATCAACAATAGTCACTTTCTTTTAGATAAGATGGGTATTTAAGTGGACATTAGGTGAAACCAAGGGTTTAAATGGATTTTTTAAATGGTTTGTTATTTTAAATAGATTAGGTCTATTTCATCATGTGGTTTACTTTATCCTGATTGCTAATGGGAAGAAAGAAAGTGAGGATCTGTTCATTATTTTCCAGGTAGTGAGTTTCCAGTAGTGGATACTTATAAATTGTATATTAGCAACCTGAACCTTAAGAGGAGAGTATATTTGTTTGTTTTTTCCAGTATCCATGATGGTCATTTTAGACATATTAAAACTGCATTTTACTGGCATATTTCTCATTTTAAAAATAATCCCCAAATTAAAGTTCATTCCTTCATTTGCACATGTAACTAATTCCATGTGCACTCTTTTTTGTTCCTAGTTGATTATAGGATTGTCTTGTACCACTACCAGGTTGTAATCACCTTGTCGTCTGGAACTGGAATTTACTCATTCCCGTGTTTATAAAAACCTGGCTTAGTGCTTATTACATGGGTGTCTGATAAGTAGTTGTTGAGTGTATTCTGATTACTGCTACACTGTTGTCGTTTTTACTGGTAGTGTCATGGTAGTTTCCATAAAATAAAATTGTGTAACAATTGTGCATCAGTCTCTAGAATTCAAGTATGTCAGGTAAAGAAGGTTACAAAGTGCAAAGAACTTGTCATTTGAAGTTAGAAAGACTTGAATTGGGCAACCTGGCAGATTGGTCAGTGTTTTCAAATTGTGGATAAGAATACCTTAGTGGGATACAATTAGTGGGATATGTTTATCATATTTTGTAAATGATGAAGTATAATTTTTCAAAGAAAAGTATAAAACATTTCATATTATTTAAATTGTGTTTGTTTCAGAGCTAGATCAACGTGCATGCATTTGTGTGTGTGTGTGTGTGTGTGTTTGTGTGTGTGTGTGTGAGAGAGAGAGAGAGAGAGAGAGAGAGAGAGAGAGAGAGAGAGAGAGAGGGAGGGAGAAAGAGAGAGAGAGAGATATGAAACNGAGAGAGAGAGAGAGAGAGAGAGAGAGAGAGAGAGAGAGAGAGAGAGGGAGGGAGAAAGAGAGAGAGAGAGATATGAAACTGGGTCACAATCTATTGTGGATTGTTATCAAAAAAAGTTTTAAAAAGCCCACTAAGCTAGTGGATATTTCAATGTTTCATAAAAAGTCTGAGCCTTGAGTTTCCCATCTGTATAATGTGGTTAATGATAAATAGTTTGAAGGACGATGCTGAGGATTACTGGTACTAATCTATGTGAGGTACATTACAGCATACTGAGTCCTGTAGGAGATGCTAAGGAGTTTGCATATTTTTATCTGTGAAGGAGTCCATGCATTTATCAGATCAGTTCCCATCATCAATTCACAAGCATTTAATTGCTTACTCCTGACTTTACTTTGAATTCCTTCCTTCATTTTGTTAATTGCATTTGTTCTGAGTACTTAGTTAAAAACAAAAGTAGAAAAGAAGACTCTATTGGTCATTTTTAACAGTTTTTCTGGGTGTAAGTCTAGATGCCAATGTAGACAAGGTTGGGGAATATGAGTGTAGGAAAACCTACACAGAAGAAGAAAACCGGGAGGTGAACTGATGATGGCTGCAGGGGAAAAGGTGACTCTTAAGGAGGATGAAGATTAATCTCACCAAGAAGCAGATCAAGAAAGGGACATGAAGGGATATGGTGATTATTGGGGAAGTTTGTATTGTTTCGTTTTGTTTTCCCTGGCCTTTCAGAATGTTTTGAGTGGCTTTAGATCTTTTTGGAAAAACAGAAAAACTTTAAAGATATCATAGATCATAATGTAATCTTCATACCTGAAAATGGCTCTCCCCTCTGCCACAATTTATAGATGAGAAATCTGAGTTGTATATGTGAACTTATTGTCTAAGTAATAGGGAGCTGGAATCAAAACACATATTTCTTGACTTTGAATCTAATGCTCTTTCTAATCCCGGTCTTGATGGATTATTGCCCTGAAACATTTCCCCTGAGCCTGATGGCCTCAGGCAGTTGAGCCTTTTCTCTCCCGTGTTTTAACCATGGGTTGTAATGAAGTCTAGGGCCTTCCATTTCTCACTATCACTGAAGAGCAGCTTTGTCAGATGGACCATAAAGCTGAATGAGGCCTTAGAGATCTTCTGATTCAGAACTTTTCAAATGTTATTTTAATAGTGAAAACCACTTTTGAAAAACATTTCTGTAGCAGTTTAATATACAAAGCAGATTTTAAAAAGCTATCTAGTTGAAACGAGTATTAACGGACCTGGACCACTGCCTATCCTTACCTCTCTCTTCCACCATCATAAAATTACTATGCTTCCAAGAAGCACCATAATTTAAAAAAAAAATCTGCTAAATTGGCTTTGTTTTACAACTAGGGTTGAGTAAATTATTTTAAGCTATCCTTGGAGAAAAATCTACTTTCTCAAATATGGCAAAAATAGCCTTGAAGAGTGGATTGCAGTGAGAGCATGGCTCCATGGGAGTCTCAGGGAAGATGTAAAATATGAGGAAATCAGCCCTTATGCTATCCAAAGCAGACATTTGTAAGTATTAATCAACTCAAGAGTATAGTTGACCCAACATTTCTAATAACTTTCCCAAAGAAAACAAAATTTGTGAAAATAGACATATTTCTCTGAATATCAATTATGTTAGTGCTTATTTGAAATAGTTTTGTGTAGATGCCTTGTGGGGTCTGCTGCAATGGTTTAGTCTAAAAAATTCTGCAAAATGGCAACTGGTTAGGACAAGCCATCTTGTAATCTGATGGGACGATATCGCTAAAGGAAGAGGCTGCTTTCCCTTTTGTTGAATATCTGGAAATCATTTGGAGCCTCCAGAGCCTTCCTAGGATCAGGTTCAGTGATCTATGGATAAGGGAAATGGAAGAGGTACCAAGACCAGGCAATCACGATTGACATGGTTACAGATCTGAGAACTTGGTCCCAATGCCAGTTCTTACCGATGTTTTTAATGATTACATTGCCAGTGAGCTCATGTCTTATAATTTCCAGGAACCTGAGACTCCCTTAAGTCAATGACTTATTTATAACCTAATTCAATGTTTTTTTTGTCCTGAGTCCTTGACTGAATGCTTAATATTATCTGCTACATCCTTGACTGAAGACTCTTCTAGCCCAGAAGCACTTACCAGCTTAGCACATGGGGGTAACTCTCCCTCAGGTAGAAAGTAAGTCTGTGTGCCAGTGGTGCCAATCACCAGCACGTTTTTCTTCAAGTCAATGGAACATTGATGTCTCCTGAGTATATCTAGCCCTAGAAGCATGTCCATGGGTTGCTCCTCAAGGATAGAGAAAGAGCATGGTAAGAAATCGCCTTCAATTTGAATCTGAGCTAGATGAACTCGGCCGATAATTCTCTGTGTGCCCACTCCTTTAGCAATCCCAGCCCATCTGCGGTCCACCAACCGTGTTATATTACATCTCTCAGCACAAGCTTGGCTCATAATGGTCATCTGGGCACCTGAGTCAACAAAAGCTTTCAAAGGATGTCCATTCACTTTGCAGTTGATATAGAGCATGGCCACTTGTCCAAAACTCTCTGGAGCCTCTTCCATCGCTATATTCATGTTTTCCTCAATGTTTTGCCTCCGGATTTCTTCTTCTATTTTTGCCTGAGCTTCCAAATCAAATGGGTCAGCAGAGTAGAGGTGAAGCCTCTCTTGTTCCCTCAGGGCCCTTTCCCTTTGCTGATCCATCAGGACCTGGGAAAATGTCTCAAGGTTTCCGCTGAGCAGGGCTTCTGCCAAGGCAGGGTTGCGTTCCTTCAGCAGGGACAGATCATGGGGATTGGAGAGCAGCATGCTTCGAATCAAGGCGGGGCTGTTCAGACGTTGAGCAGATGTCATCTTCTCTCCAGAATCTAAGCCACGGGTCTGCTGGGCCGATTGTGCATGTTGATGTTGGTGCTGCTGCCGGGAGCCAGATGTCCCAGGCATGGCTATCCCATTAAAATCTATTCGAGGCAGGCTTGATGTCAGTCCTGAAGGCTGAGGTCCCACATTCTCCTTCTGAAGTAAAACAACTACATCGCCGTCTTTGAGGCCATAGGAGCCCAGGGAACAGTGGTCGTCAGTGAGGAGTTGCTCCATGTAGATGATCTGGATCTCTTCAGCAGGGATGCCAGACTCGAGCTCACAGAGAACACGGAAATTGTGGAGCTCAAAGTCAGAGCTGACCTGGATGGAGAAGGTTACCTCGGAGAGGTCCTTCCGCACACAGTACACAGTGACCAGCATGGCATGGGCCCAGGAGGGCCAGGTGGGCAAAGGGCATTGGTTGTTCACTGGCTGACTGGAGCTGGTCTTGGTTAATGGTTCAGCTGCTCCTCAAGACTGGATGGCTTCATTCACCTCTCAAAGAGGCTCAGCACTTTCCAGTCTTGGGGGCTGCCTCTGCCAGCCTCAGTGACTGCTGCCTGGCCGGGTGGAACCTTAAGGGAACATGTGTTCCAAAGTTCATTTGTATGTGTGCTGTTTGGAACTTAGAATGCCCACTCCCATAGAAACAAAGTTACTCCAGTCCATTAGGTTCCCAGGTTAGCCTTTCAAAGCCTATTGAACCCATGATATGAAAAATGTTTCAGCTCTTCCTAAACAACATGTGAACATTCATTTTGTTCACTTGAGAACTGTAGCCTTTGTACTTTTATTCCCCAAACAGTGAGTGCTTGTATCTTACATGAAAAGAATCATGCTATGTGCTTGCTGTGAGAGGTAGGTCAGACTCAGTGCCTGCCCTTGAGGATCTCACATTCTAGGGAGGGATCAAAGGTTAATGGGTAAATCAGAATACTGGAGATAAGTGCTTTTACAAAGGTACGTTCAGCATACTAAGGGAGCCAACAGAACAGAGGACATTTCTCTAAAGAGGAAACAAGTATGTCAAAGAATGTTGAAGGATGAGCGTGTTCCATGTGAAAAATGGTGAGAGTCACTCAGTCACTCCAGAGTCCAGACAGAAAGAATTGCATGTACACAAGTAAGAATCCATGACAAGGCCTATTATTTCCTGTGAAACATAAAACAGTCAATGAAATAGAAGAAATTTGTATATGAATTTAAATGGCAGGGTATAAAGCTGTAAAAAAAATGATTGGAGCCAATTTATGGAGTCATATATTAATCCAAGGAATTTAAACATTAGCAGTAAGCAAGATTCCCCCCCCTCAAAATATGTTTTTAAAAGGAGGAAATAAAAAGAACAAAAAGAAAGGAAAGGAAATGGAAAAGATTTGATGCAGGTATTTGTTTTTTGGGTTTTTTTTAAATTGATTTAAGGAAGAGGTTTCTTGAAGCATATGGAGGACATATGGTGGCAGGAGGGACAAATAGATGCTTTCTTGGTGGCTCAAAGAGAGAGCTGTTGCTAGAATATTATGAAAATATAAGGAAGATGAAAGCCGAAACTGTGAAAATAAAAGTGTTTCTTGAGTAGAATGGACAAGATGTGTTTACCCATTGGATGTGGGGCATGTAAAAGACGGAGTGTGTGTGGATAACACAGGGGGCCTCTAAAACGGGAGACTGGTTAGAAGTAGGCCATTACCTTTGATGGATGAGTGAGATGAAACTTAGAAGAGACCAATTTAACATCAACTCTGTGTGAAATGCATGGGAATGCCACACTGGAGGCCCGATACGCCTAGCTCCCTGACCTTAGGGCAACGCCCCCAATCCACACACTCTACAGTGGAGGCTCACAGAGTTAAGAGTAAAGAGATCCTTGAGGGCAAATAGTGATTGAGTAGAAATCCTTGGGTGTCAGTTCTTTATGTTTCACAAAGTATTTTGCATTATAAAGAGCTCTTTGCTCTTCCCATGTGTGGTCTACTCATGAACCAAAAGATAGCATCCAGTGCCAGTTCCCCCCATCCCCTTCATTTCATGTTTTCCCAGAATACCTGCACCACTACTTAAAGAAGGATATTGCATCAGCCTAGAATTTTTTATTTATTTATTTTTTGGCTCCTGTTTCCCATGTGTTTGTTTCAACTATGTCTCACTCGTTATTCTAATTATTATAATGTTTCCATATTCTTATTCATTTATATTGGAAATGTTAACTAAATACCCACTGTGTATGAAGCGTGTGCTAAGTTCTAGGGATACACACACGAGTACTGTTAAATGTAGGCTGTGTTCTTAGAGTTCACAGCCTAAAATAGGACAAATGCACAAACACACATACAAATTGGGGGCTTAAAAACATATCACAGAAGCTGTCACAGCGCGAGAGAAATTAATAACATCTGGAGAACAAATGAAGAAGATGGTGAAGGTTATTGGTTAGGGAAGGCTTCCTGAAAGAGATGGGCTTAGAACGGTGACAAGAAGTCAGCCATGTCCAGGTGGGCAGGGGTGGAGAAATAACGGCTGAGAAGAGGAAGGCCTGACTTAGAGCCTGTAACTAGAACAGCAGCTCTTCATGACATGGAGGCCTTTATAAAAGTTTAGGGGGGAAAATCTAGCATTGTAATTTTCCTATAGAAAATTATGAATGTTTTAGAGCTATTCTTTACTATCTATGGAGGTGGATGGCCTTTGACCCCAAAAATATTAAGTTAATAAATTTCTTCTGTGGTTCTTAACATCCTGATAAGTTCATCAGAGATCAATAATGGTTTAATGGTTTCTCCTGAGACTGCCACATGGAAATAACTCTGGAACAGAACAGATGAGAAGCCAGTGAGGCTTAAATTCCATGTTCCTTTTTTTTCTCCCCTAGCAGCTTTGAACAATTTGTTCTTAAAATCTTAATAAATTAGGGAGCTAATACTAAGGCTTGGTTTCTTAAACAGTGATGAAATTATTTTTATAGAATAAGGGTGGGTTTTTTTTAAATTATATATATATATATAATCTCCATTGCCTTCTTTGATACTGAACATAATTAAGTTCTGTGTGGTATGTTTTATCACCTTGCTGTAATTCTTTACTTTCGGTGGCATTTTGCACTTATGTGCTTATTAATAATTTACCCTTTACTGAGAACACATAATGGAAAAAAAAAGAGCCTCGAGGTCTGGCCAGTTAACTGTCATCATTCCATGTATCACACGATGTCAGGATTGGCAAGGATCCTTCGGATTCCCTAGTCCAGCCACCCATCCAGGCCTTAACCCTCTGTTGCGGAACAGCCTCGAATCTAAAAAGATAAACACAGCTTCCTGGGGATGTCTAGTACTTCTATTTATTCATTGTTCGATTCTTTTCTTTTACTCAGCACTATTGGTGATTCAACTACCATATATATATATATATATATATATATATATATATATATATATATATATATATAGTCCTCTTACCCCAAAATTTTAATTGAAAACTTCTTTTGATTATGTAATAAACTTGGCGGTCATTGGGAGTATATATAAATACTGCTAAAAATAAAAATGTATCCCTTAAATCCCTATTGCACAGACCACTGAGAAATGGGTGCTCTGAATTATCTAGGTGTGCTAATCTAGGTGATGGAAGGTTATCACAACTTTTCTTAAGGAATCTTTTGTGAAGTATATTCCTTTAATTCCTTCCTTGGTAAGTACAATCTAGGAACATAATTGAAACTTTCTTTGATAAGTGAGACTCCTGCAAGTTCTCAGGGCTATCACTCAGAAAATCAGTTCTCATTGTATAGCCTAAATACCTAAGAAATAGAAAAGATGACACTGATTTCATACTGGCCAAATAAATAACCCTAAAGTTATTTTTTAGAACAAGTTTACAATAATACCTTTCATTATTTGCCTCTTTATAAAAATTTAAAGCAGAAAAAAAACAAACATAATTAATGGTCCACTTAGTATAGCCAGTTGATATTTAAAGTACCATCTCTATCTTGCTTTACAGAGCAAAATAAATGCCTTTTCTATGAAAAAAAAAATAGAATAGCTGAATAAATGTTATTATGTAGCATATACAATAATTAAAACATGTTAAAAAAAGTATATTAGCTTTCTGTGTTTGGGTTTCCTCCTTTATGTAACTGGTATTACTTTTAAAATAAATTATAATCAAGACTTATAATATTTAGACAGTTAAGTCATCATTTCATATTTTTTCTTTTTTTTAATAATTGATTATATTCCCTATATTTTACATCCCTGTGACTATTTTGTAACTACCAATTTGTATTTCTCAATCTCTTCACCTTTTTTAACCCTGCCCCAATTCGCCTCCCATCTATCACCCCAATAAATCTAGTACCCATCTGACACCATAGATCGTTATTACAATATTATTGCCTATATTCCTTATGCTATACCTTACATCCCTATGATTACTATATAACAACCAATTTGTACTTCTTAATCCCTTCCCGTTTTCACCTACTCCAACCTCCCTCCCATCTGGCAACCATCAAAATGTTCTCTATCTATGATTTGTTTCTGTTTTATCTGTTTGTTTATTTGGTTCTTTAGATTCCACTTATATATGAAATTTGTTTTTTGCTATCTGATTTACTACACTCATCAACTCAGCACAATACCATCTAGATTCCATCCATGTTATCCCAGATGGCACAATTTTGTTCTATTTTATGGCTAATATTCCATTGTATGTATGTACCACCTCTTCTTTATCCATTCATCCATTCATGGACACCCAGGTTGCCTTCATATCTTGGCTTATGTAAATAATGCTGCAGTGAACATATGGATGAGCATGTCCCCTTGAAGTAGCATTTTGAGTTTGTTTGGATAAATACCCAGAAGTGGGATTACTAGGTTCTTCTTTGTCTCCTGGTATAGTCTTTGTTTTAAAGTCTATTTTGTCTGGTATAAGTATTGCTACTCCAGCTTTTTTGTTTGTTTGTTTCCATTTTCATGAAATATCTTTTTCTGTCCCTTTACTTTCAGTCTGTGTGCATCTTTTGATCTGAAGTGATTCTCTTGTAAGCAGATATGTAATGGTCTTGTTTTCTTATCCATTCAGCTCTCCCTACTTTTTGATTGGAGCATTAAGCCCATTTCCATTGAAAGTAATTATTGGTAGGTATGTAGTTATTGCCATTTTATTATTCATATTTTTTTATTTTTTTCCCCCATCTTAAAGAAGTCCAAGATTCCTTGTAATACTGGTTTGGTTGTGACAAACTCTTTTAGCTTTTTCTTGTCAGGGAAAATCTTCATCTTTCCTTTAATTTTAAATGATAGCATTGCTGGGTAGAGTAGTTTTGGTTGCAGATCCTTGTTTTTCATCAGGTTGAATATTTTGTGCCAACTCCTCTGGCC